AGCATTGCATTTACGGACTCAAGTAAAGAAACTAGCTGCATATATACTGGTACGGCAGAATTAGAAGGGATGCAGCAAAGAGCTAAATAAACATAACTCCTTCCAGCCTGTACACGTATACATTTAAATTCGGTATATTCAATGATAGGAAGACTAACTTCCTCGGATGGTATCGATGAATGCACCGCAAAAAGAACACCACCGCCGATTCTGCCCACGCGGTCACTCCTGTATATTTGATATTCATTTGGAAGAATTTCGGAATTAAAAATATGAGGTTTGAGCCATGTTTCGGTCAAGGAAATAATATTATAATTGCAGTCAAAACCTTTTAAATATAAGTCAGTTAATTTGGTATTCAAACCTCTAACGTTTTGATAGTAAATACTTAAATTAGACTTGCGAGTTAGTTTTTTGAATCCGAATTAAGATTAGAAATTTTAGCTACGTTATTATTACTTTTATTAGGTTTATACTCAAANTCTAATTATTGTTTTAATTCTTTAACCTAGATTCAAGAGTTTATGGTGGAGCCTGTATTTTCCCGTATATACAAATGTATATTTCCCACTGCATTTCGAAACTTGTAATTTTGTCAACGCCTACGTTTTGGCTTTCCTTTTCTACCGTGGCCGCCTGAGAGAGAATACACCATGTGAGCTTATCGGAGCTCGAATTACTGTCCGGTATAGTTTGTATGCTCCCGCGCACGTTGTAGAAACTAATCGACTTAGGTACTTGCCCATTTTCCATTTGCTGACGCGCCATTTGTATTAGCAATGTAACTTTTCTAAATATTAATCGAAATAGAATAACATGAAGGAATCGAAAATAGGTCACCAAAGTCAAATAAAAATTTGTCTAAGTAAATAAACGACTAAAATGATTTTAGGGGATTAAACGATAAATATAAAAAAAAATAGCTAAAACTGGTCAAGATATCACTTAACTTAATTAGTTGACCACAAGGGTATTTCTCCCTTGATAGCCAATTCCTCAGATAGCGAACAATATCATGCTACGTCTGAAGAAATCTTGTTTTAATTTTTTCGTAAATATTTGTCTTTTTCTCCTAAATACATACATTAATTTCATAAAATCACCCAGCGCGGAATTGAAAAAAGCAAACAAATAATTTTGGCCGCATGAAAAGTTAAAATACCCCTATGTGGGAGGGAGGAAAAACTACATACATACACTGCCGGAACAAAATATTGGCACAGCAAATTCTCCACAATATATGCAACACTTTTCATTCTAATATTTTTTCGCTAATTTCGTATTAAAATATGGTTCATTCTACAACAAAAAACATAAAAATATAATTTCTAATCTTTGTGCAAAGCTTGCGAAAATTCAGCAAATTTTCATGAAAATTTTCAACTTAGAATTTTTTAGAATTTTTTTGAGTATGCAGATTTGTAGCCCAATCAATTTTATAATAATGAAATGCAAGTTTTAAGTAGCTAGGAATTACCGCTTTTACATATGTATATGGAAAAAATGCAAAAGACCTTCAACAAAAAAATTCTCAAAAATCAACGCGATTTTTGACTAACTCCAAACTTGCATTTATTTTACTAGAATTTAATGGGCTGCAAAACTGCATACTCAAATACTCTAAAAAATCTGATTAAAAAGTTGAAAATTTTGATGAAAATTTGCTGAATTTTCGCGAGTTTTGCACAAAGTTTAGGAATTAAATTTTTATGTTTTTTGTTGTTAAATGAAGCATATTTTTATACAAAATTGGCGGAAAAATATTAGAATAAAAATTGATGCATATATTGTGAAAAATTTGCTGTGCCAATACTGTGTTCCGGCAGTGTAGTTTATAAATGTGAATACAGTTTGGTTCATACATATCTGTGTTCGTATGGAAAAGTAGCTTATGTCGAAAGGCCGGCTTTAGTATAATGCGGCATTCCCTTTATTTTTTAAACGACAAGGAATTTTTTGATCAGACTTAAAAAGAATATTGACTTGCTAGTATCGGAACTATTTCTTGCACGTTTATTTGCTAAAAATTGTTTAACGGCTTAGCGCCCGTAAGTCATTCGCAATCGTATGCTGCGAATGCCGATTTATACTAAAGCCAGCCTTTCGACATAAGCTACTTTTCCATACGAACACAGANATTTTTAAGTATGTTCGAAATATAATATTTCATTATTTACATTGCATTTTCAATTGTTCTCATTTATAGTAATCCTGCTGCAGATGGTGAAAAATGGCCAAATTTTACAAAGAAAGATCCCGTCTATTATGTTTTTTCAACTGATGAAAAAGAAGAAAAACTGCAACGTGGGCCACTGGAAGGACGTTGCGCATTCTGGAATGAATATTTGCGTGAAGTCAGAAAATGGGGAAGTAAGTAAAATTATTTGTATACATATTTGTATAAACAATTGTTGAGATTTGAGCTTATCCTTCGGTAGAAAAATATTTTGCTGGCTTCTTAGTTTGATATGCTTGTGTGTAATTTAATAATTTACCAGTGGATTATGCTCTTTCATTTAACGATGTATTAATGTAGATATTTTTAAATGGCCAGACAAATTAAGTACATATATGCAAATACATATTTATGTATGCTCGAATTCTAACGTACGCGGAACGAAATACGAACAAATTTTAAGAGGAAAACCAAATCCATTTACTTACAATAAAATGCAGCTGCAAAGCGGCGATTGGCTTGGACAAAGTGGCTCGCTATGCAAATGTGCATCTCTAAAAATTCGCCTATGGTTTGTGCGCTCAACAACGTAAAGAAAAGGTATATACATAAGTAGAAAATGCCTGTATTGCGTGGCATTGATTTCAGTCAGAGAGGCTTCACATTTGTACAGAAATACAAAACGAATACTTAAAGATGGGGAACCGTGTTTCAAGGTGTTAGTAGTTGGTTGCTGTTAATCAGAATAAGTTGAAGAAAAAACGTTTTTTTTTACATTTATCACTCTTTACGCTTACATATGTACATGCATACATACAAAGGTATATAAATATCTTCGTACTCCGAACATATGTAAGATATCTTACAAAGATCAAAGGCAATCATCGGTCATTAATAATACTTCTTACCCACCACCGTAGTTTCGGTGACAAATAAACACTGAATATTGAAAAGAGTGCACACATTATAGAAATTAGAAAAAAAAACATACTATTAATAAATGAACAGACATTGTGACGCAGCGTTAACATAGCCAATGGCCACATAATAGTTTTCGTACCAAAATTTGCATTTCTAATGAGGAGAAGTAACATAAATAGAAGGCGTTAAAATCTCCAATTATACATACAAAAGTGAAAAAAATTAAAACGCAATTTCTACAATCTTTCTATGAATATCGATTAGTTTCTAACTCAGATCGCTAAAAAATATGTACCTACATTAGGCAGGGTCGCGTAAAGATTTTATAATAACTTTTAAATTTTGAAAGCTTAGATCTTTCAAGAGGTTTTTGGCGTCATTAAAATCTCAGCCATTTTTCTCTTATAACTTGTTTTTTACGCAAAGTGATAGGTGTCGTTAAGAAGCAACTCTGTATATAAAAAAAAACTATAAAATCTAATAGCTCATTACCACCGAGCCTTAACTGCAGTTTACGCCTATTGGAAAAAGGATACTACAACTGTATTATTAAGCATAAGCAAACGAAAGTAAAAAATTAATAGTAAGATATAAACCTTATCGATCGATCCATGTAAAAAATATTGGACCTGAGCTCTTGACTGCAGTTAAGCTTTTTGCGGAAATGGGATATTAATTGCCACCCCACTAAGTTTTATTTTAGTTTTCATTAATCTGAGAATTCTAAGAATTTAGTAGATGAAAAATTTATTTCTTGATATGTTAATAGATTTAATCCAACAATAACCACCAGTTTCACCAATCTATTTTAAAAATTTCAGACAGTTAAAAATTTTAAATGACAAATTTTCGGAACAAATTGTGTCGTTTTAAATTTTAACAGGCTGATAGACATAAAATTGATTGGTGCAACCGGGCATTAGAGATGAAAAATACTATTTCAGTGATAAACCACTTCTTCAAATTTAGTCATAAAAGTTAGGGGAAAAACTTGCTCAGGGTGGAAGTTTTTATTATGCTAGAATAACTTAATTAAGTAAAATATTAGATGAAAAAATAGGTCATAAACTTTATTATTTCAACGTTCGCTGATCTATGATTTGAGCACCAAGTGTCTTTGTCATACCTAAACAAAGAGGAATACGATATTGACGGTGAAAAAACACTCATCGTAGGCAATAAATTTAAAATTTGTTCGATTTGCATATTAGGTATGAGATTCGTATAATAGAAACAATTAAATGCAGCAAATTAGCGGCATCAACCACAAAATGTTAATTGTGGCATACTTATCCACGCACATCTTCATATACATACATTAACATACGTATGCATATTCGTAAATCTTTCCTATCAAATAGATCTTGAGTGACTCATTGCAGCAGTTAATCGGACATCGAAGATTTCAACTACATTGCTCGGAGGCATTCGAGAAAGTTCACATAAGAAAAACGAGTACAATCGATCAATCTTCACATAACCTTTATACATAACTATATATGCATATAAGAAGAATGAATTTGGAATCAAGCACGTGCACTAAGTGATGACTAATACTTTCTGCATGTGTTTTACACAAGTCAATATTTTCGATGAAGCAGCAATATTTACACTCTGTTACAAAATCAAAACAAAATGCAACTTGGCTGGCTTAAGTCATGTCCGTCCGTTTGTACGCAAAATAGTCCCTCAGTTTTCCAGTTATCCTGAAATTTGGTAATGTAATAAACATTTGTCGAAACCGACAACAATACATACATATGTATGTATGGAACCAATGCAACTGTTCAGAAATGTGATTTAGCATTATAGCTCCTCTGACTATAGCGGCTGTTCCCTGATCATGAATAGGCAGTTTACAGCGAAGATCGAGTCACTCTAACCTTTAGCTGCCATAGAAGTGATTGGTTTGGAACCATTTTTTGTGTGGTATCTTCTTCATTTAGACATACAAGGCTAACTGAGAAAATCGCCAAGATCGGAGCTCTATGCTATATACGTCATGGCACTGATTATTCAGATATGAGTTTTGTGGTATAACTCATCCATTGAGGTAGTCAAGTTTTTAGATAAATTTAGATAACTCTGCGTTTCCAAAACTGCCAATAATTTCGTTAATGCGAAAATTTACTCAATTTGATAGCTTTATAAATTTCCATGTCTATCCACAAATTTCGATAATTCTTTACACTCTGGTAACCCGAAAAATCGATAAACAATAATAACTAGAGAAATTCCTGTAAATCTAGAAGTTTTGATATCCCAATATACTTTTATATTTTCAAAAAATTCCATAAACAAAACCGACAAATTTAGATAAATCGATAATTAAAAAGAACTCGATACATCACGACAACTCCATAAGTTGCGTTAACTCGATAAACTTCGATTACTTTACAAATATTTGTCACTCGATAAACACTGATTATTCAATAAATATCATATAAAATTAAATTTCACTATATTGATTTTTCAAACAAATAAGTAACTACTCAATTCGGTTAAGAGCTATAGGAGGAAATGGCTTCGAAAGAAAGTAAAACTATTTATAAACTATTTTAAAATCTACTTAATTTTCCATAGTTGCTAAAGAATGGTAATTAGGTTAACTCTGAATGAAAATATTAAAAAAAAAAAATATGCATTATAAAGATGGAGACAATATGCGGTTGAGGTAAACGAAAATAAAATATTAGGGGTATTCTCGAAATCTTGCAAAGCCGTTGCACGCGGCACGGATTGCATAACTTGCAAACACACATGAACAAAATACATGGAAACAACATTTCCTAGCCCCGCAAAATATGCAACGTCGAAACCTATGTATATATTTTGCAAAAGAGCATAGCAAGATAAATGCGACCCTGTGCTAGTTTTTTTGTTGTTGGAATCGCTACATATTTCTCTCATTCCGCTCACTTAATTTTTTGCTGTATCTTGTTATTGTATTTGATACAGAAATGCGCTGCTTGATACCCATGCATGCTACCATTTTGCAATGGGAGGCTCTCGTACTCTTGCAAATTTGGAATAGGATTTTTGCATTTCATACAATCTGTGCTACGTGCAAGACATCGAGAATAACCCTAGAGTATATGTTTCAGATTTCCTCCGTTGTTTTTTTTTTAATATTTACAGCGTATTTAGTAAAAGGCATTATTTATTTAAAAATTAGAAATATTCTGCTGTATTAGATTTTGAATTAAAAAAAAAATATATATATATATTTCTTATTTGACTTGGGCAGAGACGACAAAATTTCTCCATTGCCTCCCTCCTTTGCGACGGTACTGCAGTTGTTCATACTGAGTGAAAACAAGTACTTCTGCGCTCGGTCCCATAGAGATCTGCTTTTCATTTACTTGCCTAACACCTTTCGGAAAGAATAATCCGGTTAGTCACTTAACCTGATCTGCAACCGTGACTTAATTTTTACTGTCTTTTTTTTTATTTTTTTTACTTATTGTCTAAATGAAAACCGCAAATATACAACGATTTGTGCTAATAGTGCGATTCACGTTTTTTAATTAGTATATGGTCACTCTAGAAGCAAGAAAGCATTAAAATTTATATCATCCATTTGCATGATTTATTAGTCTATGAAGGAAAATAAAAACTTTATATTTTCGCATGAATCGTGGATATTTCCAAGAATTAGTCGTTATGTGAGTTTGTTGGAAGAAAAAATTCAAAGTTAGAAAAAATAGTTGACCATATTTCTTCTTAATTTGAGGATGTATTAAAAACAATTGTGTGACGTGCAATAATGTTTATTGAATAATATCAACAGTGTTGCCATTTTAGCCGTTTTCCGGCTAGATTTAGCCGGTTGCGATAGCCGGAGAAATTTCGAATTAGCCGGAAGCCCATTTTTTAGCCGTTTTGTAAGCAAATATCCGTTTTTAGCCGATTTTGCTATTTACCTTGTTTTCCTAAAATTCAAGTTAATATGTTTTCATTTTTGACTAAGCGATCCAAAATCTGTTAGAAATGGCTACTAGCCTTATTTTTTGTTTTAATTTTTTAATTTTTTTCATTTAAAAAACGAATATATTTTTTCTAAAGAAGGCCGTAACGGGGATTTTTTCATAGAATGTTTGTTATGAATGGACAAAATTTAAGTGTGAAGTTTTATTCGCAAGCTTAGAAAATAACAAATTGTTTCACAGTTTGCTCGACACGCGTTTTCTATTGGATATAGTGCCAAGAATAAATTTTACAGGTATTGTCTTCCCAGATTGTGCATATTCAATTCTGCCTTAATTACAAATAG